GTTGATAACGCAACTGGCTCCTCCGAGGATTCCACCAAATTCCCATGTTTTTTTGTTCTTTTTTATAATATATTGGAGATAGTATGAGCGTAGGGCATTTCCATAACCTTCCCACCATAGCTGTAAACCGAATAAGGCCAGAATAATTCATACGCACACGCCCGCCCCGCATCCATTGTAGATAAATTCAATATTGTGTTCACGCGAGTGGGAGTGCGTTTGGCAGAGGAACCACCAGTGCCTGTAAATCAATACATTAAATAGAAACATATGAATAAAACAGAAGATAATAAATAAAAGAGAGAGCGGTTGGTCCAAAAGATGTCACAGGCAGGTCTTGTTGCTTTTCAGAGTGCCAGAGGAGAGAGGCGTGACAGAATGCAAAACAGAAATTAGTGTTTAAAATCACGGCTGCTTTGTTCCTATACGTCACAGCATGTGCGTTCAGGAATGGGCTTACAATGTGCTAATGAGCGTCTTTCATGTAGTTTAAATTACCTGTAGCTAGGCCTGTCACAATAAACACTACATTGACTTATCATTCAGTATATGTGAAATGGAACAATCATTTTTGATTGTTAGTATTCATCGTGGGTACTTTTTCTGTGCACTAGATGGAAAATATATGTTATTTTTTCAGTATTACAGTCAGATTTGAGCTGTAGAAGGCTGAATTATAAACTGCTATGCCTCATTGTAGATGCTGTTATTTATTTATTTATGGCATCTCTTTTTTATTGTACATTTAGAATTGATTTTTGGGTGTAAACAGCTTTATGGTTTTGTTTCAATATCATCATGTATCGTCTATATTTACTTCAGCAATATATCGTACTTAATTACATACTTAAAGGGACAGTTCGAAATTTTGGCCTCATTTCCTAGTGAGCCAGAGTGTTGGGGACGTGTGCAGACACTTTTTTAAATATTCCATCCAGTCCTTGTATTTGCAGAGGTCACTGGTGCTAGGTTAGTGCATGTCAATGGCCATAGTTAGCCTGCCTCTAAAAACAGTCTTACCCACTTCACAAAACACACGAAGCAAATCTATTATTACACCAGACTGTCGTTGTGAATGTCTGTGTCGATACAATAATTTTAGAAGTAAAACCAACCTTGCCTTTGAAGGATTTATGTCTGAGCAGCAGCAGCAAGTTGTACTTCCTGATAGAAAGCTTGGCAGGGGCGGACTGATATATGAGAAAATAGTCCCTCAACATGCGACGATTCATGCGATGCAAGGTTAGTTTTATTTCAAGCATTATTCTATCAACACAGACATTTACATCGACAGTCTGGCATAATAATTGATTGCTTCAGGTGTTTTGTGGAGTGGATAAGACTGTTTTTAGTGCTAACTATGGCCATTGACATGCACAAGCCTAGCACCAGCGACCTCTGCAAATACAAGGGCTGGATGATGTACTAAAAAAAGTGTCTCCACATGTCTCAACACTCTGGCTCACTGGGAAAGGATGTCCTATGTCCAAAATTCCAAACTATCCCTTTAATTTGTTATCATGACAGGCCTACCTTTATCTGATTCTTTTCAAGTTTATCTGAGTAAAACTTGCCTTGCCTCATTACAGATATATGGTATAAGCAGCTCTTGAGGTCAAAATAACAAAATACTAGCATTTTATTGTGCATATTCATGAGGTAAGTGAGGATTAACTTTGGACCACTGTTTAAAATGAACCAGTTGTGTTTTTCACGCTTTTAAGACAGTAACAATTCACCTTTACTAATGCACAACAAAAGGAACTGCCAACGCACAGACTGCTTGCAAAAACACAAATTAACAAATAAATGAACAGATAACATTTACTGAGGAATCAAAAGTTTATGATGTAATGAAGAAAAAGTCAGCCAAGGCAATCATTGCATCATTCGCAATAAAATGACAATTATAAACATATAAAGAGTTATTTTTACTGAAAGGAAATAATAAGCAAGTTAATCAAAGAGCAAACAAGGACAAAGCAAACATTTCTGCCAGACTTTTAAGAGAAAATAAACCAACCCACACACAATATGTAAGTGAACTGGTAAGCAAGTAGACCTACAGCATAAAATAGTATATTGCCTACCATTTAATTTGTGTAGGGAGATTGCCTTCAGTTTCTCGGAGGTCCATTAAAGGGCTTATATTGTGCTAATTTTTGTTCCATGTTATAATGTTTGCTCATAAAAACCTTACCTGGAGTTGTGCTTTCTTTCATGTTTAACACACAAAACTCTGCATATTTTTAGTCAAAGTTCTTTGCTCAAACTGGAAACACTTTTATTTTTTTTATATTTACTTATTTTTATTATACAGAAAATAAATAAATACAAATTATGCAATGAATAACAAATAATACTGGACAGGGATAGACTCAGGAAACGCCAGGAGAAGGATAGGGTAGCCAAAGGTCACACATAACTAAAATTCACGTTAACAATAAAAAAATCTATATATATAAATTAAATTGCTCAAGAATTTAAAGGGTTTTAACCACTTTGAAATTGGAGGACAAGTGGATGGTTTTTTTATAGTGCTGTATTTGGGACAGGAAAATGGGGAAGACCTAGCCTGATTTATCAGCCTGTTTAACTTCGTAGAAACTGTCTGACCTCGCTACATTAGGATTAATTCGCTCAACGGTAGGCTGGTACTTTTTTCATTTAACCAATCGCTGCTATTTGGTCGTGACGTATGTAATGCGCCAGTAACGGGGCTAACTGGTATATTAAGCTTTTCCCAAATCCCATAGGAAAAAGGGCAATAACATCTTTCCCCTTGATGAAATTCTCAAAACATTGTCTTTGTTTCGGCTTTAAATCCTCGATCTCAGGAATCATTGTCAACACAAAATATATGGCTCTTCACTGATTGGCTGGTGCCCGAACTTTTGCGAACCGTTTAGTGTATTCTGATTCCTGAAGAGTCGCTGAAGAGAAATAAAACTGAGCAGAGGCACTAGACCATTTCGTTATTTAAAACTCTAAAACTATTTCTTGGTGACAGCACAAGGTGGAACAGAGCATTTTGAGCATTGCAAAACACAACTCCATGTATGTTTTTGAGGGGGAAACATTATAAAATGACTAAAATCCCACTAGAGTCATCATCATGTAATAGAGGACCTCACCAAATCAAACATCTACCTCAAAATGTTATCTAAAAATGCAATAAACTATAAACAAAATACAAATGCATATACCTCTAACCACTGCAAACCACCCAGACAAGATTATCACCTTTAATTAATGTCAGATATGTAACAGCTCATTCCCTATAACAAGATCATAAAAATAACCAATTAATAAATGATTTTGTCACAAAGCAGATAATGCGCTGAGGCCGATAGTCTGAGATGCAGGGCCCACTGGACTTTATGCGATTTATTATATGAGTATTGGCGCACGCATTAGTTTTGAATCATTAACCACTTAGTTTATAATGGATACTGTACTGTATGTCATTCTGCGTACAAGTATTCATTATCTCAACATTTGGGTCGTTTTATGGGAATTACAGGGAGTGGAGCTGTGACGAGCTCGGTGGGCTCACATGCGCTAATTGGGCAATTTAATTTGTGACATAGTTTTATAGTTTAGTTATCTATACAGGTAAGGAAAGCACATAAATTGCATTTTTGTGAGTAAAACAGTAATTAAGGGCACACTGTGTAACTTAAGGCATGGTCCACAGCCTGCTGAGTAGAAGTAGTAGTAGAAGTAGTAGTAGTAGTAGTAGTCAGAGTATCAGTATAAGAGTATGCAAATAAAACCCAATTTGTCCATGTAGTTGCTACATCATCTCTCTGGCCTCTGAAGTTGTGAAATGTACTTATTGATACTTTGCAGTGACGTCATACTGGGGGTGTTCTATGTGAAGCTCTATAGTGGAATATTCAGCAGTTACCATGGTGACACTTAGACTGATTCATCAGCCGGTTTCACTTAGTGTAAACCGTCTGACCTCACAGCATTAGGAGGTCATGATGTCGTTCGCTCGACGGTAGGCAGGTACTTTTTATTTAACCAATCGCTGCTATTTGGTCGTGACGTATGTAATGCTGTATGCTGTAATGTAACTGGTATATTAAGGTTTTCCCAAGTCCTGTAGAAAGAAGGGCAATAACGTCTTTTCTCTTGGTAAAATTCACCAAACATTCTCTTTGTTCGGGCTTTAAATCCTCGATCTCAAGAATCGTTGCTAACGCAGAATGTATGGCTCTTCGCTGAGTGGCTGGTGCCCAAACTCACACTTTCGGAGTTTTTGCGAATCGTCTAGTATTCTGATTCTTGACTTAGATGCTAGAGAGAAATGAAATTGAGCGGAGGCACTAGGTGGCGCCAGCCTGACTAGGTGACACCATGCACACATTACCAAACACTAAATTACACTTTAAAAAGACTGTCTGAAAACTCAAGAATAAATACAAAATGGATTTAGATAACACATTTCCAGGAGCTGTGATTAACACGAGCATCCATGTTCCTGTTTAGATGTTCGGTTTTCAACAAAAACACAAGAGCGACTAATTGAAAAACTGTTGTCTGATGCGAGCTAACTTATGCCTGTAATTTTAAGCATGAGAGACTTGTTAAACAGCACACAATTCATCTCACCAGTTGCAGTTCCAACTAAATCAGATCTTTGTGGTCAGACTGTGTTAAAACAAAGCTCAGATTAAAGTCTCGCAAGCCTCAGATATAAAAGTGCTCAAAGTTAGCATCACAGATGACAGCAGCTGCAAAGTATCAATAAACTCATTGTAGTGAATAATTAGTGTTCTGCAAATGTGTTAGAAAAGTGAGGAATAACTTTGGTCCGCAGCAACTGTTTGAAATGAACCAGCTGTCTTTTTTACATTTTTAAGATGGTAAAAATCAGCTACAGCGCCTTTACTACAACAAAGCAACCAGCACTTATTTAAACCATCAAAGAAACAAGAATAATTGCATGAACAGTCACGCAGTGTAGATGAAAGCTTCTGTGTTGTACTCACTTGTCGTTGATGCTCCAGTTGAGGCAGAGGTTGAGTGAGCTGAGGTTTCTGCACTTCCTCACCACCTCCATCACCGTCTCATTGTTCAGCTCCGAGATGTGCCGCAGGTCCAACACCGTCAGGTTACTCAGCTGAAAAACACATGCACAAACACTACTTCAGACAGAATATAAAGGGAGTTGGAAAAGTTGTATCTGTGTGTGGGAATGCCAAACCTATGATTCACAATATTCAGTTTTCAGTGTCAGTTCAGTTCAGCTTGGAAGAGTTTTCTACTTCAATTAAGATGACAGTTTGCCAGGAATTCAGAACACACACTACTCCAATACTATTTTACGAAGATGTGAGGTAAATCTTTCTATTTTCATAGGCGTGATTGTCAGATGGATTAGCCAGTGCAATTAAAAACATTAACAATAAGATGACAAGTTTGGGGATCTATGTGGCTAATGAATGGGCAAAAAATTTGAGCTAATATCAGGCCAATATTTATTTCTATTTCAAATGGAGACAATACAGCAGCGAAACTACAGAAGTGGCTGCATGTTTACACAATCATCAAAAGGACAGCAATTTATGGTCATGGTCAAGTTTTTTTTTATATAACGTTTTTCCACTGTCACTGCACTCAAAGTGTTTTAAAGCACAGAACCACTCAAAAATTCAGACCACAGTGTACTGGAATCACACCGCCAACCTATGGGTCAGTGGATCTGAAACACTCACACCAACTGAGCTCCTGTCGCCCATATAATGTCGCTTTTGAAAGAAAATATGCTTTGTTATAATATGTACATCTGTCATTTAAATTTGCCGCAGATTAAAGATGATAGAAATTGGCGAATATCAGTTATTAGCCACAACAATTCAGAACAAATATCAATTAAGCTTGGTGTTTTTGAATAGATAATAGGGGTGTAACGATATCCAAGTCTCACAATACGATATCGTCACGGTATGAACCTCACTGTACGATATTTATTATGATATTGTGGGAAAGCTCATGATATGGTGGGGAGGATTAGGAATGTAACAATATCCAAATCTCTCAGTACGATATTTTCACAATATGAATCTCACGGTACGATATTTATTGCGATATTTTGTGGAGGCAAAAAAACTGTGAATATGCTACTCTTAAAATGACAAGACTTAATCCAAAGAACTAAGACTTAAAAGTGCTTGGAATTGTTATTTCTTCATGTAGTTGCACTGATATGGAGCAAAGGATCATGGTTTATGTAGTCTTGGTAGTTTTCAATATATAATGGGTGTAACAATACGATATGTCAAGTCTCACAGATACATCACTGTACTTATCAGATACTGTATGTTATGCACTGTACGATATTTAATACATGATATTGAACTATGAGATATACTGATGTATCAGGATGATATTTGGAATTACTTTTGGATATTCATCATGATATATCCAATACTGTATCAGCAATATATCATCTCTCATGTACTACAGATATTTTCACAATAATGTAATCTCAAGTTCGTATCGATTAAGATTCACACTACATTGATGATGCATATGATGTTTGCTCACTGATTGAGACTACTAAAAAAAACTGTTTGCATGAAATTGTTTAAAACATGAACTGTATTTTTCAATGAATACAAAACTGTAGAATGTATGTGTGTTAATACTGTTTTGAACTTAAAGACAATGTCAAACTTGCATCAAAGAACTAAAGACTTGAAAATGCTTGGAAAATGTTTTTCATTGAATTGAACATTCATGTAATGTCTAGCACTAAGCAACATGACCTCTGGATGTGTGCAAAGGATCATCATGTCTTTATTGTCAATGTTTCTTTTGAAACTGCTCTGCTCTTTTTTTTAGTCATTTTTATTGCTGCACCATAGACTCTTAATTTAAGACAAAGAGACTTGTATATTGATGGTGATGGTCCACGATATAATTGTGAGAACTTTGACGATACGATATCACGATATTTCGATTATTGTTACATCCCTATTAGATAAAGATTTTTATTTATTTATTTATTAAATTACACTTCCTACATCTGCATAAACGACAAACAACATGATGGAAAAACAGTGTCCTGATGACCCCTGTTGAAACTTTCTCTACTGAACCATTCCTGCACGAAAGAGGGATTACACCATCTCATGAGAAATATAACATCACAAATTAACCAACATGTTTTCTTATTAAAAACAAATAAACATGACTTGAAGCTTGATTTCATGTCAGACTTTAATCAGTGTCACACAACATAAATGATTGTGAAATGAATCCATCCAAAGTTCAAACTCTGCTCCAAACCACATGTTCTACTTCCACAAAATTGGCCGTAGACCTGTCGATTACAAACTCCCAAGATGCTCACTGACAACTGGAACCCAACGGATCTTGATTCGATTAAAATTCCAGTAATTGCGCAGCCTTACCCTAGCGTCACATTGAATTTTCAACAACATAACTGTACTGCAAAAAAAATAAATAATAATAATAACTGAAATAGTGGGAGCAAATGCAAGCAACACACAATTACTCAAGCTTTCACGTCGTCTATACAAAAAGCCAAGGGACTATCTTGTACAGGCATTCCACTTCCTCTCTCCCAAAAAACATGGATTTTCCTGTGAATCTGATGAAGTGATAGCTAGCTGAATGCCAAATAAAAGCGAACAACTCGATAAATGACTGAAAATTGCTCCCTGCGACTGCGCGACTCTCTGCTTTGGTGTTACCGAGTGGGACTAGGCGCAGATACCCAAATCCCCCCTTTTCTTTCTATTCATTTCAATATCCCTACTTTATTATCTGAACACTTTACGAGAGCGGGCTTGGATTAATCTTGAAAAAAAGGCGACTTCCTGACACGCTTATGAGAAAATTTTGTCTCTATTCACGGCGAATGATAGACACGCTAAGGCTTTTTATGTAGAAATTGAAGGACTATTTTATTTAAATAGAGCAGGTGTATGCCGATGCCTGGTGCTGGGTGTTAAATGTCAGGTTAAAGATGCACAGAAAACAAGTTTGAGTGCTGTTAAAATCTTAGCGAGGCATTGTCGGTAGCGCCATAGGATTGACATATAAGGAGCAGCGGGGATACACAAGGAGAAATGGATAAGGCACCGAGCCAGCTGTGAGGTAAGGATCATGTAAACACTACACATGCTGAGAATGGCAAAGAAACACAGCCACACTCAAAAAAGAAACTAAAGCTCAAATGGATCTGTAAAGTGCTGGACCAATAGAAGGATTTTGAGAGAGGTCTGAAATATAGCATGAGGTATTTGACGGTCCTAAATTGCTTTATTTGCTCCTGCCTTGTGTCAAATTTGATTTACTTTAATATTCAGAAAGTTTGATTTTATAAAGCTGGTCATATACTACAGCAAATCTGACTCTTATGAGCTTTAACCCATGTTATAAAGTTACCTCTGCAAAAAAGTACCCAGAATGGTGTTTTGTTTCATTCACACGTTTAAGAATTCCTTTATTATTAGGCTGCATTTACACATACCCGGATATGTTGAGAAACGAATATTTCTCTCCCTTTTATTTTTCCAAAATAACATCGTGCACATAGCATTGTTTTCAAAAAAGTTTTTGTTTACATCAACCTGTCATTGAGCACCATCGTAACTACACCAAGCCTCTGGGCGTCACCTGGATTAGATTCAAACCTGTAGCATTTATTTTATTACAGTTGTAAGCATTACTCAAAAATACCTTGAAAAATGTGCATTACTGAGCGGGATTGCCTCTCCACAGATCTGTTAAAGAAGTGGCAAAATTGCTGACCTCCGAGCTCGTTCGTCTCTGGACATTATGCAAACACATGAAAAATGTTTGCACCAGAAGAAATGCAACTGCTGCTCTGAATGCTTCATGATCATCATCAGAGCAAAAGGTAAACATTGGTCGCACTTTTGGCGCATTAGTTGCCTAAAACTCACTCAGTTTATCTCACTTTATACGCAAACATCAAACTGCAGTTTTCCAGAATCTCCATTGTAGCCAGAGGTTTTAGAAAAATTTGTTTTCAGAGGCAAATTTGCTGTTTGCGTGTAAAAGATAGGTACAAACAAATGGAAATATCTTTGTTTTAAAAAATACCTGTGTATGTGTAAACAGGGTCTTAGTCTGTCTATTCTCCAAAGCTCAAAATGCTCTGTTCCACCTCATGAAGCAGGGGTTTTCAAGTTAACAGCTCTGTTTTACCTTCAGTTCAGTAGAAATTGGCAATTCCTGGTCTGAAATCATCCAAATGATTCTAGTGAAGGCATATGGAGTTTAAAAATGCAGTGGAGCACTTCTTGTGTTACCACTTCTTGTGTTACCACATAACAACACAAGGTGGAACAGAGTGTTTTCTGTTTGAGAGAAGAACTCAGCCTAAATATGCAGTGTTTGTGTGTTAAACATGTGTGAATGAAACAAAACAAAACTCAGTATGTTTTTAAAGAGGAAACAACTTTATGACTGATCAGAAAATGGACAGAAGTTTTTAGAGTGAATACATTTTGCCACTCATCCAAAGAGCTTCTTCAGTTGTGACACAGCTCTGGTAAGGGACTGCCTTTAAATATCTATCCAAAGGGAATCTAACACACTCTAGTTCTTAACAGTAAATCATTTTGGTTATTATTAGTTCAGTCCATTGAACCAGCCCAAGGTGTGAAGTGCCACCCGAGTCCTGACATTTCACATAACCGTTCTTGACCCTAATGCGTCATCGATAAATTCATGATGTTTCTTCTCACAATAATCATAAAACTGAAATAAGATCTCAGACAAGGTCAGGTTTCTTTTGCAGCACTGACAATTAAATCAGATTTAATGAGCCAGGAAAAAAAAAATATTTGGCTGTGAAGTGGTGGTAATTTGGTGAGGGTCTGTGGACACTGAGTAACTCTGGATTATCACAATTAGAGGCAAGAGACTGAAGCTAAGTATGTCGGACTAGTCAAATGTGAAATTAAACAAAACACACATCAAAGTATGTTCTTGATGAGGAAACATGGTGCAACATTTTAGAAGCATCCAAAAACTGGTTTGCCAAAATTTAAGACTGTTATGAATTATTCTGGGATCTGTTCTGCACAGTGGGAGTAGTAGTAATCATAGTCTTAGTAGAAG